ACATGGAATATTAAGCTAAGAGGCAATTGCAGTAAAAATACAAGCTGCGAGTTGCCTTTGTTTCCAGCAGCATACTGCTTTTTGGGAAGGTCTTTTCTTGTGAAATAAGTAATCAAGCTGTCATCAAGCAGGACTTGTGGGCAAAACAAATTTTTTTTGTTTATGGGATAAAACATAGCTTTGTTCTTGCATCAATTTTGCTGCTTCCACTTTGCGGCTCCCCTGTTTAACACTGCTAGAGTTTTTGTGGGGAACGTTAAGGACCAGGACTTCTGCAGGACCTGTTTAAATGTATGTGCAGAAACTCCCTGCCCCAAGGTGTCCCAATAAATGGGAGCCTGAGATAGTTCAGTCTTTAACCAAACCAGGCCCGGAGGAAGGACTTGGGATAGAGTGTTGGTTCCCAAATGGATGCTGGCAGGTGAGGACTGACTTGACCAAGGGGGTTCATGGTCATCCTGGTGGTTGGTGTCAGAAAGCAGAAGGTCACAAACTTGGTGCTGTTTCCTCCACACTTGCTGTTTTAAGGATTTGGGGGAAATCTCACACTTCACTATTTTTATCAGCAGAACTGAGACAGGTCTCTTATTGAATCCTCATGATTGAACCCCATTTTCCTTGTATTTAAAACCATCACCGTGCTCTTGATTATATGGTGAGAGCCGTGCTCTTCTCACAGACTCGGTATAACGTGTATATTGCTTAGCCCTCCTTCCAAATCACTGTCTGATCAGGACTCCCGTGTCACACCACTTGCAGTGTGGATACTCTTCTGGGCCTTTTTGCCAGTAATTCTCCTGAATGTTAGTGCAGCTCTCAGGTTTGCAGATAGGACCAAAAATTTAATAGAACTTTGAAAAAACACATATGCCTTTTCAGGATGTTTTAGCAAAAATCTTTTGGGTTTTGTTCAAAGGAATCCCTTTTAAAAACTGCTAATGGGTGCTGTGAGCTGGGCAGTGCCTTTCTGCAAAGAAAATACTATGCTGTTTGTCAAGTCAAGTGATTAAAAGGACTCTTCATGAAAATTTCTCCCTCCTATTGCTTTTCAGTGAGCAATGAACATTGCAGCTTCCACTGAGAGCAGTTTGCCTTGTGTAAAGATGCAGAAGAATAGAGCAGTGCAAGCAACTCTTGCGTCTTTTGTATAAACTGTGGGTGTTAACGCAGTGCTTACCTGTGCCGAGCTACAGAGTGTGTATGAACAGTGCATGTTCTTTATGAGAAAGCAGTTTTCATTATCATTAGTGATGACTTAAATGACTTTCTGCAGCTCCTCTACTATGCAAGAGTCTTGGGTTAGTAACAAGAAAGGCAAAAATACCATTTGGGATTGGGATTTGGCAGGTGTTACATGCCGGCAGTCTTCCCTTTGACCGTTTGAAACATTCCTTACTGCAAATCAGTGCAAAGGACGTAGCACTAACTCTCTGCTTGCCATTTTGGGCAGACAGCGGTGGGGAGGCTGATGCTTCCAGTTGTTTATCAGGACCTACTGAAACAAAATGGGGAGAAATTGGTGGTCAGAGGAGCCAGCAGCGTCGGTGTGGGAGGCTGGTGTCACTTGGGTGAGACAGATGAGGCATGGAGGAAGGCCGAGGGGTTCAGGCCCTGAGCTTACTGTCCTGCCATGAGAACCTGCTGCTTTGTACAGCTCAGGAATTGTGTGGGCTTTTGGTTGGTGCAACTTTGAAGCAAAATATATTTTGGTCATTCCGGTTTGCAGAGTTAAATATACAGGAAATAGGTACCAGTCTTCTCTTGCCAGGACTAATATTTGTAAATAGTCAACTTGTCCGCCTGTTGGTTTGTAACTCTCCAAATGTTCCCAGGGGATTCCTGCTTGTTTGCAGAAAGCATCTGGGCTTTGCCTATAAATTTGTTTCATCTTTCTTCTCTATAGATGGATGACTTGCGTTAAAACCTCTTTGACGTTGTTAGTTTAAGTAGGTATACAAAAGCAGGGAGAACACAATTGATTTTAAGACAATTAAAATACCTACCAATGTCTCTATTTTTGAAATTCACTCTGCAGAGCAAGTCAGTGCTAATTTGTTTTGGAAATATGTTTTGGCACATATTTATGTTAAAGGATTTCGTGTGGGTGAGACAGAACCTGAAAAGCTCCAGGGCAAAACCAAGATTTCTTTCTGCCTTGCTGCTATGTAAAGGCAATTGAGATTTGTTTTACTTATAGGTCTTCCTCTGGACAGGCATGTTTCAGGGATGGGCACTTGAGTTTTAATCTGAAGCTTTTAAACTCTCTATATGGTATTAAACTGGTCAGCAAAGTGCATTGAGTGCCTTTTCTTAACAGTGAAAAGGTGCTTATGTCTACCCACCCCCTGCACCAAGGTTCCTCAAGCTATTTATTGTTGTAGGGTTTTTTTGGCAGAGGTCCCACCTGATCCTAGAAAACCATTGAGTTCCCAGAGCTGTTCTGATGGTATTAATACAGCTTGGACAATGTTTTCGTGCTTGTAGATAAGCGGCAACTCAGCTCACAAATCCAGCCTGATTCTGGATACCGTTATGGCTGTGGAAGTGAGCTGCATGGGTTTCAGCAGATATAGATATATATATACAGATATAGATATATACACACACACATGCATACTCGCACGTGAGTGTGTTTTTATATATATGCATGCATATAAAGCTGCTGCTAATGGTGGTTCGTGAGTTGTCACCTTGAGTCGCAGCAAAGCTGCAAACAGAGAGCTCTGTTTCAGGGCCACACCAGTCAATAGCATCAACCTTCTGGCCGGGTCCCATCCTCACTCTTATAATTGCAGTGCGTTTCTGTCTTGTTACCCAACCATTTAACTGCGGCATTTTCTTTCCCTCCCTCCTTAACTACTGTGTCTGAGGATGACAGCAGCAGGAATCAACTGATCTGTGGGGCTTTTCAGTGCCGACCATTTCAAGTTTGGTGTGTTTGGGGGCTTTCTTCTCCGCCATAGAAGATGGAGAAAATGGGAATTTGCAGCAGCACTGCTGAGGAGATGTATGCCGAACCCCTTTTATTGACTTCTGATAGGCAAGATTTAGGTTTCATCTTGCCTCTCAAGGTAGCTTTAGAAAGAGCACAGTAGGTCTTTTGACAGTCCAGCAATTGCCCCGCAGATGATCAGTCGCCTCTTTCATACGTTGCCAACTTTGAAGGGTCAGGGTACTCCTTTAGGCACTTCAGAAGCTCGGCTCGCCATTAATATCCAAGGGCAAGTAGCCCCCAGTGCTGAATATGGAACGGCACCTAATTACGGCGCGCCGGCTACGCGGCAGCAATGAAAGAGGCGAAGAGCAGGCGCCGGGCGCCTCAAAGGAGAGCGGGCGCCTAATGAAGAGGGGGGAGAGGCAGCCGGCGCCGCGCTCGCCCAGGGCACGTGGCGACCTCGCCGAAATGCAGCAGGAATTGGGAAGGTTTGGCAGCTCCGAAGGGGATTGCCATTAGCGGGCAAGTCATCTCGCCAGCCAAGCTGTGAGGCGGTAGCCTGAGCTCCGGCCTTCCCGCAGTCCTGGCTTGCTGGGTGAGTCGTTGCCTCACGCCCTGCTCACACACAGTTGTGTTGGGGCCGGGGTCTTCCTCCCTCTGGAAGCTTTTGCTGGGATTTCACTCGTGGAAGTTTCTTCTTTGCTCTTCATTTAGCTCTCTATTCTACTCTGATAAAGACAAATCCATGTGCATATGCTAAAAGCTGACCTTAGCTTTGCTCCCTGCAGTCGCTAATGCGCCCTAAAATATTCTAATATATGGCTTTGCAGACTCCAGATCAATAAACCGATGCCTCTGAAATGACAGAGTGCTACGATATTCCTCTGTAATTTAAACATGATTAGCTGATGAAGGTTATGATCAATATGCCAGGGGAAGATAAATTAATTGATATCATCCTTTCAGGATGATAAGGGGCCTATTGGAGGTGGGATGTAACTAATGAAGCTGCTTCTTCATCTATACGAGCCATTTTTTATATGATGTATTCTCACTAAATCACAGTTATGCCATCATTCATTTACATGAAAAACATAAGCCACGGACCAGTTCGTTATTAAAATTGCATTCATTTGGGAAGAAATTGTGCGCTTATGCTGCTAAACAATATCTATGCCTATGTTTTAAAGTGCACCCTGGCAATACCAGACTAAAATAAAGCTGAGCTCTAGATACTGGATACTGAGAGTGTCTAAGCACTGGATCAGGTTGCCCAGAAAGGTCATGGGGTCTCCATCCTTGGAGATGTTCAAAACCCAACTTGTACTGGGCAGTCTGCTCCAGGTGACCCTCCCTGACCAGCACTTTGGCTGGGGTGATGTGCACAGGTCCCTCCGAAGCTAACATTGTTTGTGGCTAAATAGGAAAAATAAGGTTTTTCAATCTTGAAATAATAAATACGTAAAAATAACCACGTGCAACATGCTTTTTCACCCTCTTTTAGACCTTCTTTTAATATAATGCATCCCATCACTTCAAAATAATGTTGTCATTTGCTGTGCTCCTGAGTCGCACAAATGCAGCCTAGCCAGCCTGTTACACCTGCCCTTCCTGTTCCATGTGTGATATTATTTATTGTCTTTCTACCTCATATTTCCTGTAACTCTAAACTTTTCTCACCAGGCACGGTCCTTGGAAAATCAGATGTACAAATAAGGGTGAGGGGTTTTAAGTATTTATTACTCTGTTTTTCCAAAGGCCTTAACTGAATAGCAGAACGAAGTAAAATTCCGGTACATCATGGAACACATTTCTAAAATTTGATATTTTTCAAATAAATAGTTTTAGTAGCTGTATAGAAGTTTCTGTGTTTCAGATCAACTGTTTTAATCTCATTAGGAGTCTAACTATTACATTCTTTTTTGGTCCAGACTTGGGCAATGGAAAACTGTTTAATACCTATGCTCTGTCTTGTGTTTTCTAGGTATTCCTGTGTATTTTTTGAATTGCACTGCTCTTTACTGTGCCCTGTGGCTTATTTGTCTGTATATTTTCTTTTTTTCAGTTGCTCAGAAGATCGTTGCAACAAGGAAGAAGCAGCAGCTCTCAATTGGACCCTGCAAATCTTTACCCAACTCTCCAAGTCACTCGTCTGTGTGCTCTGCCCAGGTTTCTGCTGTACATATCAGCCAGGTACTGAATACAGCATGTGCTTGAAAAAGGAACCGAGCGGTTGCTTTTTCATCTAATGTATAAGATGCTATTGCTTTTTTGCTGCTTGGTGGGTAGTTGGCCTTTTTCTAAAAGGTGTTAGTTGAAAGCACTATTTTTTTAATTGGCTTGAGTTTGTTTTAAGAAACTGCTGCGGTCAAGTGGTTTGGTTCTCACGCCCCCTTTGATCGCACTGATTATGCCCAGCAACCTGCTGCTCCCAGTAGCTTGCATGTTACAGGAGCAGGATTTGTGGCACTGCTTTTTAAAATTACCATGTTCTCGATTATTGTTCTATTTCAGTTGTGGGCTTAGTAGTACCTGGTATATCTTGACACTTAGCATGCTTGAATTTTTTTACTTGCTACCACTGGGTGCAGTTTTAATTATGTATCTCTTACGCTTAGTTGAAATGATTCCCCTTTAATGATGGTGATACATGTTGCTAATGACTTGGAGATACTATGTGTAAGCAAAAAAAGACTAGCTTTCGTGTGTGATCTGGTGATGTTGATGCTATAGGTATGGTGTCTTTTAGAAAAAATCTAGCTCATATCAAAAATTTTTAATATATGTAATTTTTTACCCACATATATCTTAATACTGACCTCTGTATTTCCATGGTGATATCCTTCCCAAGTAACTTAGCTTTCTAGCATCAAGTGAATGCACACAATCTGTGTGCACAGTTTGGTTTTATACGAGACCTGTCTTTCAGATCCGAGACTTTGAAGCCAAGCGGGTCATGTTCCCACCGTGCTCTCTTGCTCTTGGCAGATGTATAGGGCTGTCATGTTTGCTCTGACAATCTGTGGCCAGAACTGTGGCCCACTTTCTTGATTGTCGATGTCTCAAACATTATTATCAGTGTCTCCACTGTAGCAATCTGAAATGTCAGATATTCACCAGCTTTCCTGGCATGTTTTTTAGGCTAAAGTAACTTGCCAATGATTTCTCTACAAGTTATGTTGCAGTCTTGAGCCACCTATATGAGGTTTTGTTCAAGCTGTGAACTTTTTCCCCTTCATTGTAAATGTCTGTGCTTTTTGGCAAAGCACTATAATGAAGCACTCATGGGGTTTTTTTGGCTTGTTTTTAATGCATTTCTATTATTTGACATGCTAGACTGTCTTTGGAAGGCCCTCTTTTTACCTTTATGTGAGAAGACCCCCTATTCTGTTGTGCTGACAGCCATTGGTCCCTACTTGTGTGACTAGTGAAGACTTGTTAACTTTGAAGATGCAGATGCCAGTTTAGTCTTAGCTCATTACCTTGAACTGAACCTGGATACCAACCTGACAGTGAATTCTGGTACATGACTTCCCTTCTGAAGAGCTCTGGTGCTTCCTGGTGCCTGTGTGTAACAGTGGTTCATCTGGAGCGATTTCTTCCCCTCAGTGTCATGTGTGACACTGAGGATGTTTATTCAGCCACACTCTTTCTGACCCCATCGCTGGCGTTAGCACTTGGACTAACCTGTCATGCAAAAGGTGTTTCTTCCAAAGAGTGCTTGAAGTTCTGTATGTTCATATATTTAGACCAAAAGGAAATGGCCTGACCATAAGGCTTTGGTACCAAGAGAAGTCTCCCTCAGTGAGGAGGGAGGAAACTGGCTACCACAGATATATGGAAAACCAATGGCACCATTTGCACTGCTGATCAGAATCCCAGATTCAAGGAGGACTGATTTACTCTGCTTGGTCTTTATATGACTTTTCAGGACATTCTAAATAGGTGAGGGCGTGCTTTGTACAAGCCAACCCATCTGTTTGTTTTGCGTCCTCTTAAAGCAGCTGAGATGACTCCTTTCGTTTTTGAAGATTGTCCAGTTTCTTACCTGAGTTCACTTTTAAAATCAACAGGAAAAAGCCAAATTCTAGATAAGTAGTTCTTTGCTTATGCAGCAAACTTCTGCCAATGGTTAAGACTGAGGACGTGAGTGAAGTTTGTTCTTTACCTTCATTAGCAGCTGGTATGAATGTTTAATAGGGACAATGACAACTTCAGCCAGTTTCATTTCATCCAAGACTGGCTTCATATCTGAGTGAAGGCTTTCAGAGGCAGTCCTTACACATAACTTCAGACAAAATGAGGAACTTCTGTTGTTGGATCGCTGTGGTGATTGAAGTCCCGTAAACCCTCCAGATGACTCTTGCAGTCATGAACTGCATGACTGGCTCACTCCAATGGGGATAGACTGGTCTTGTGGACTTGCATCCCTTGGCATAGCAGAAGGGTTTCTGGGTTATACCAACAGTTTAAGGTGCTGGAGTGGCAAGACTAGTGCCAATACCAACAACTGGAAGTAGCTCTTGGTATTGCCCAGGCCCTGAAAGGGGAGGTCACTGTTGCAGAAATCATGAGGCTGCCCAGGTGGGCACCACCATCAGCTTTGTGCTCTACCAGAGCTCAAGATGTACCAGAGTGAAGTATCCTATTCCTGGTAACCTGTTGACTAGCTACCTGATGCTGTACCTGTAACCTAGCTGCTGTTTAGGTTAAAGCCCATTGTCAGATGAATGTGATGGTTTGAGGCTTCTACCTAGGACTACCCAGCAGTGTCACCATATTGATGGCCTGCAGTTTTGAATGTGAAATGAAGGAATATTTACCAGTGACTAGTCTTAGAAATACATGGACTAGGTTGTCCTGCTGTGTATGCTTGTACTACAGGGCCTGTACTAAAGGAGCTCTGCTGTGATGGAGAGGGGCCTTCAACACCCTGCCTTCCATGCTGCCAGATACAAGCATGAGTGAAACCATAAAGGTTTACACTGCTGTGATTGCCCGTATGGACTGCAGCACAAAGAAAAGTGTTTATTGGTTGGCAACTTCACTGTCTTAAGTTTAAGTTATACCTGAGAGGAGTATGGAGCTTAATCTATGTATTATTAAATTATAGCTCAAATATTGCTGTCACGTGAACTAACTCTCTCTGTTGCAAACTTTTAAACGTGGTGTTTGTGCTTGTACGACACTCCCATGCAACTTTCTACAGCAAGACTACCCAAATATATAAAATAATATATAAAAGTTCAGTCTCTTTAATCATCCAGGACTTCACTGTATATGGATCCTGACTCTGGATAAGTGCTGAAGAGGAGGGCACCATGACAGTTGGGGAACATTTAGGGTGAACTGTTCTGAGGAAATATCTGGCTATTTGAACGAAGAGGAGGCAGCACGGCTTAATCAGCATTTTTGTTCTCCTTGAAGCAGGCTTTTGTTTCTCCATGCGGCTGCAAGACAGGAATAAAGGTCAAAACCCATATTTAATACCACTGTAAGATATATCGTGATGTTTTTCTCTGTATGGGATAATTTCTAAAAAACCTTCACTCCATTGTATAGTTATGCACACAATATATGTGTGCGTGTGATCCCATTCTTCAGAGCTCAAATCTTAATCAGTGCATCTGTAGGTTACTCTTTCCTCCTTTCTCTATATTCACTTCACCACAGTTGCAGTCTTATTATTTTCTGTTTATACCTACTATTACCTTTTTCTAATGTCTCTTACTTCAGGTCCAGACATAATCTCTTAGCTGTAAACCAGTTGTTGCCAGGATAGCACTGAAGTCTCTCCATGCATTCCATTAATGAAACATTAAACTTTAGAGATTTTTCTTTGGCTTTGCCACTCAACAAAAGTGTTAGCCAAATGGATTCTATTGGTGTTCTGTCTGTCTGTCTCCTTGGCTGCTCTTTCTGTCTTCTACCTTGCAGTTGCAATGAGGAAAAGCACTGACACTTCTGATATAGGCAAGTTCTAACATGTCCCAGAGAATGGGATTAAACTGCTGATGTGGGGAAATAGAGCAGATGATTTGGTGTTTTGGGGGCTAGCTAGTCTTACCAACATCTCAATGTTTTTCTAGGCCTCTGCTTCAAATCTCCTGTCACTTTTGTATCCCAGACACATGGGCAGTAGCACACCAGCTTGCTGGAAGATTTCTGTCCGGTGCTGAGGCAAGGAGTGAAACAGTTTTTTTCTAAAATCTGTCTTTGAACATATGGTTGTGTATGACCAATGTGGCTTGAGTAAATTGGACTCCCAACTGTAATACTTTCTGATGACAGACTGAGAAAATGAGACATTCATTGAAAATATTTTACATGACCTAGTGAAGAAAAATGTGTCCTTCTGAGAGCATTTTCCAGGAGGTTTTCATATTGCCGCAGAAATAGACTTTCCTTCCTCATTCCAGAACCAGAAGATGCTAAAACCAAACACACATTGTCATTCACTATAAAACCTATACTCTTGATCATGGCTTAATCTCTTCCAGTTGACTCCCTGAAGCTCCTCATATCTTTTATACCTTTTAAATGCAAGACCTTGCATCCATTCGTCCTCAAGCAGGGGTTAGAGATGATTTCTCTGGAGGACATCCTGTTGCTTCAAGAGAGCAAAAAGAGTCTTTTCATACTGGGATGCCTGTAAAGAATTTAACTGCATTCCTTCAATTTTTTACAGTATCAGTCTGTTTGGCTGGAGATACAAGCCTTGGTAGATGCTAAAGGTACATTTTTTTAACTGGGTTAATGGTAGTTTGCACAGAGAACATGCTAGAAATCAGTATATCCCTGAAATGAAAGACCTTCAAAGATATCTGTAACTGTGCTGAAGGTCAGTGACCATCAGGCCATCCAGCTTCCTGGGAGGATTCAAAAGATAGGGTTGTACAGAATATGTCCAGAAGTCTTTTAGCATGTTTGGAAATGGACCGGCTGCCTTAAGGTCAGAAAATCCTGTCACTCAAGAAGGCCAAGCAAGGATGTTTGAATGGTTCCATATCCTACATGGATTCCTTTGCCTGGCTGTGTTCCCCTTTCCATAATTCTGGTAGGAGCAGAGATGCATAGAAGTGGCTCTTTGCGCTGGCATCTCGGATATGCTTATTTCTTGAGGGCAGCTTAGTGTAAAAACTCAATTGAAAAGGTAATGTGAAGCTGTGTGATATCCTTATGTGTATTTGAGCACTTATTTGATTGGTTTTGATTGCTGCAAACTTGACCGATTTGCTGACACTTGGCAATTGAGTTCGTGTTTGCTGCATGTGGGGTAACATGTCCTGGAAGGAAGGTTGTTCTTCGGATTCACCGACTTGATTTTTATGGCTTTGGACAAATGTGAAGTTCTGTGAATTATAGCTATTGCCATGTGTCCTAAATTCCCTACTTCACTTCAGTGAACTTGTTATTAAAGGCTTGCATACTGATTGCAGGAAACGGCTTTCTGCAATCTTAATAGGGCACGGTCCCTAGGTTTTCCTCCGGTGCAAACAAACAGCCCCATGCGGACGGCTCGGCCTTTTGTTTCTGGCAGCAGCACATCAGGTTCAGATGTGACCAGGAATATGGTTTCCAAGTACTTGTCTGCTTGCGTTTTTCACCGCTGCTGTCTGTGCAGGCTGAAGCTTGAGCGTCGTGTCAGAGCTCATTCCGGTCAAACCCGGGCTCTTTATCCCAGCATTTCACAGCAGCCACATGGTTCTATATGTGTTTGCTGTCAGCATTGGTACCCTGGATAAGAGTTGGAGCTTTAAGTATTAGTAGCCATCCTTTTGTTTTGTGGAAATCGTGAAGTTTTCCCCTTTAAAGCCTTTTATTGCAATAGATTTTACTTTTTCCTGACAGTTTCATATGGCGTCTTTTGAAACCACTTAGTCATTTTTATTTACAAGGTCAGGAACCCGGTGAGGGTGGGTATGTGCAAACAGAAGGCATTGCCTGCAGGACTTCTTCTCTACAAGGGTCTGTCTATGAGGATTAGAAAGTGTGACCTTCTGTGCTGAGTTTCATCTCTTTAACACTGGTAAATACCTGTAGGTGAACAGCTTTCCCTTTAGGAGTTACTCGCTCCTGGAAAATAAATCACTTAATTTGGGAGACAGTGTGTCAGTACGATGAGTATAAAAGGATGTTGTAAGATGCCAAAAGATTAAAAAGGTAGAATTTGAGGGATTAATTTATATGCTCTGTCTGGGAAATGAGTTCTTGAGGTATAAATCTATTACCTATTTTTAGTTAACAAAAAGAAATACATGCAAAGAGATGCATATTTGGGAAGTGGGTCAGTGTTGTGTCTACGCTTTTATTTTCAACTGCCTCTGGCTCACATCCTGCTACCAACCTTCAACACTGGAATCGTTTCTTCTTTGTTTTTCCTGCCCTTTCTGTGTAATCTTTCTTCTTTGCTCCAGCTTTCTCATCACATTGCCATCTTGTTTTCTTTCTGTGATAAGACTTGTAACTGCATGGATTAAATTGTAAATATTTTAGACCCTTCTTAAGCTTGCTTGCTTTCTCTGAATTTTTCCTTTCTCCCCATTTCCCCACTGTTCCAGTTGGGCTTTATTTTGACATGGGCAGTAGGGCTCTGCTCTGAAAGCTCTTCCTTGCTTCTCCCAGCCTCCTGGCTCTCCTTCTCTGAACACTATTTAGTAGTTGTGGAGTTTTCAGCTACTTGATTCCTGTAGCTTCTTTTGTCAGCTGCGTTTTAGGCTCCCCTCCTACCCTCCTCATCTTTGCTATGTCAAGTGCTTTGTCTACTAATTTTCCAAAGTCTGGGGCTGTTTGAACTTGGGTGGATTTTTGGTGAGCACTTGAACAGTGTCCTGGTTACGTATGGTTTTATCTTGTGGTGTTTTGGGGGAATCGTTTGCTTTAATGTAAGAGTCTTTTCTATGTTTCTTTGGAATCTAATCTCTAATTTCCATAGGTTCAGTGTCTCTCTTCACACAGGTCATTTACTGTCTTACATGTTTAGTGCATTACTTGATGTCTCAGCAAGGTGCCATAGAGTGAGGGAAAATGAATGCGGGGTAAATTAAGGTCATTTGTTCCCACGCAGAATTGCTCATTCCTCGCTTGTGTTGCCGAATACTAAAAATGGGCGTCACGGCTCTCGTTCTTTTAGCTCCTTTGTCTTATAGTCTTGGGCCAGCTCCAAATGCTGCTTGCAACTTGCTCTGTGCACTTGAAAATGCAGAAGGTTCCTGGCTTCCTCACAGCCACGTTTTTCTTGTTTTGTTGTTGTTGTTGTCTATCAGAAAGTTCACTTGTCATAGACCCTATCCTGACATCCAGAAATGAGTGTCTTGTTATTTATGGAGAAAGAGCTACTTTCATGTACCCATATTGCTGTCAGCATTGATTGGCCTTCTAGCTCAAACATCAACTCTTTGTTTCTTACCTTGTTCTACCTTCCTTTGCTTGAATAAAATTAAGGAGAAGAGAGAAAGGAAAGGAAGAATGCAAATTTGGAAAGGTGTTAAGAATCAGAAGAGTTGAAATCCCAGCAAGTAAGTTCAACTGGATGGTGTGAAGAAGCTTTGTCTGCTGCTGGGTTCCCTTTTGGATGTTTCTTCTGACAGGTCAGCTGTGCTAGTGACCTGACCCCAGTGCAGGCACCGGCCTCTGAGGTTTAGGTGAGAGGTGCCTGCTGGTGCCTTCCAGCACGAGCACCTTTTTCCCGTGGCAGCTTCAGGCACGTCTAGGAGCATGGTAGAAAAATAAGTTCCTCCTTTTCCTTTTCATCAACTTCTCTTCAGACATCCTGACAATATTTGCTGTCTTCTCCTCACTCCTGTTGGGAAGCCTGGCCCTTTCCAAGATGTTCTCCTTCACTCTCTTGTGAGCATCATAGACCTTTTTCTCCTTCATGTGATACCTGTGAGTCCTGGTCGAGAACCTTGGCACGCTGCTCCCCTCCTGCTGTGGTTACCTACAGAGCATTGAGAGCTCTCCATCCCTGCCCCACCTCAGCACCAAATACTGGAAATGTCTCCCTCAGAAGTTGTATTGTATCCGATAGGGGAAAAAAAAGGACATTTTTCTCCTTACAAGCTATTTCTGTATCCTTTTTAGATATTTTTTAATACTAATTTAGGTTATCCAGTACAGAATGATGTTAAGTGTTCGTGATGTTCATCACCCTCTCCTCTGCTATTAGTTAGCTATTGCATCATTTCATTAATTCTTTTATACGTTTACTCAGTGATTATAATTTGCTTCTTATATGGCTTGGCGCAGTATCTTTACACTTCTGGCTACTTTAAATTGGAGTATTTTCCTTCCAAGTTTTGCAGTCCTCTGTCAGTGTTTGTTATGCCTTCTGTAAATTTGTTAGCAACCAGCTATCAATATAATAGCTGTTTTACAGCTTTGAACCCTTTCGATTTTCTTGATTAGCTCACAGTGAATTATTGTCTCTGGACCAGGATAAAGTCCAGCTATAAAGTTACATAGCACTACATACTTTTTCTCAAGTTTGAGGCAGAATTTGCTGTGCTGATTTAAAAATGGGAAAAATATAATTTACAACTCTTTCACAATTGCTTGCTCTGCTAACAAAACAGATGAAATTCTGTTTATCTCATTAAAGTTACATTGTGTAGAATGAAAATGGGCCTGCCATATAAACAGAAATATCTAGTTGTTTTTTCTTTTTCAAAAAATAACTGCAGCAAAATATGTGTGTGTATATATATATTTCAAAGGCTTGGAATGGAAACGTGTGTAAAATTGGCAGTAGGGCAGGCCTGCTGTTTTCCTGAGCTGAGGGTGCTAATTTTGGATATCGGGACTAAATAAGATACAGCTGTGGATTGTAATTTCTTGAGAGCAGTGTATCACTGTTTAAAACTAACTTTAATCCTTGCAGACCAGTAATGGAGGAGGGAGTTTAAGTGATTATTCCTCCTCTGTCCCATCAACTCCAAGCACCAGCCAGAAGGAGCTACGGATCGATGTTCCTCCCACTGCCAACACACCAACACCGGTCCGTAAACAGTCCAAGCGCCGGTCCAACCTTTTCACGGTGAGTGAGCCAAGGAAGACAATGTTGCTCTGTTTGAAGTAGTACTTGGTGGTGAAGGACTGAGCTTCCTACCTGCTAAGCTGAGCTGGTCTCCTCCAAACAGAAGTGGTGAGATGCATCCGTAGCTTTGAAACGGAAAGCATCTTCGAACTGCCATAAGGCTCTTGAATTTGAGGACCTAAACAGAAACGGAGTATTTTGTTTTAATTTTTATTGGGAATTTCAGTGAAACAAATGAATTGGTGGTTGAGTTGTAGTGCATTTGACCTGAATTCATAGGTCTGCCTCGATTCTGTGCCTCAGCTTGCCTCTTCCTGTGATGAGTGAGAAAACTGGGCTGCTGCTCGCCCAGCTGGACCTTACACTAAAGAATACGGCTGCCCTGAGCTGCTTTAATGAAGCGTCTGAGGTTTATAAGGAGGTCTCAGTCGATGTTTGCCAGGGGAATCCTGTGCAGTAGTAGAAAACGTAGCTGTTTGCTAGTTTAATTACTCCACAATATCAGTTCACTTCTCTTTTCTGGGGCTAAAACTGTGATGGAGATTCACGTGGCTTTGTTTCTTCCTAAACTGTCTATTTCGGGTTTTTTGGGTTTTTAGGTTTTTGAGAAACGAAACCTAATAAAGAACTTGCTTGGCCCCTGATGCCAGCTTAGGCACGTGGTTGGAAAACTGACTAAATCTTTGATTGACAATGTCCTTATTTGAGCAGTTTTACCAAAAGATTTGTGATGATGCTGCATATGTAACTACGGTATTGCAAATAGATTTTAATATTCTTATAATGAACATAGCATTCCTTTGGGCTGGTATATACCTTCTTTGCCACTGTACCTACATTAGTTATGGTAGAAAAATGCATCTATTTTTCTCATCATAAGAAATATTATATTTTGTATTCCAAAGGTGCTGTCATGTCTACTTCCCAGAGGTAGCTCCCTTCTTGAAAGCATTTACAATACTAGTGAGACCCCAAAATTTGATCTCTAGGTCTTTAGCAAGTCAATAATCTCATTGTGGTTTTGGGATTTGGAGTGGCAGTACAGTGCTTCACAGATCGTGTCTCATCTGCCCCTCTTGTGAGCGATATTTTGATTAAAAATTACAGCTCTTAAAATCCTTACAGAGTAATTTAAATATATTTGTCATTCATTTCAGCAGCAAAACATGCAAAAATGAGCGGTATCCAAAATTCTGCCAGGATTTGGCGCTGACACTTCAAAGTGGTTGCATGGATGTATTTTTCTTCTCCCTTTTTATGGGAATGCTTGTCCCTCTTTGGGAATCCTCGTGGGTTATTAACTCCACTAGATGTCAGTGTCATCCTAGAAACAGGGAGCAGAGCGATCAATTCGGACAGGGTGAGAACGGAAACGCTACCACTCCTGTCGAAGCATTTGCCAACCATTTCTTAAGCAGCGTGAAATGCAAGGAGGGCTGTTGAGGTGTAGCTGCTTTTTGGAAAACTGGGCACATTTTAGTTTTGAACATGTGTAAATTTGAGTGTGTGAAGAGAAATATATGCTCTGCAACTGAGGACAAGGTTGGAAAAAGATCATAAGGCAGCTCTATCTGCTGTAACCAGACAGGCTAAAGCTCTAGTCTGCAATCGTGAATAGCTTAGTGTGAGAACCCAGCGTGCTAATAGGAGAAAATGCTGACAACTGTTGTCTGTTATCTGGGGGGAAAATGGGAAAAATAAGTGCTGTGGTTATAAACAAAATTGTTTTCATCTATTAGGAGTTAATGTTGTCTGTTAAGATCCTGCTTACTGAACGTGGTTTAATAAGCTGCTGTGTAAAGCAAGCGCCCGAGTATTAGCCCTGACTTTGCTGTAACACGGATTTTGAGCTGTGTGAGGTTGGAACCTGGAATTATGCAGCTGAACTAACAGATGACCTGTACCTCTGGTTACATGTAGTTAGAAACAGGGATAAAAGTTGAAAATACTCTATTTGCAGCTCTGGGCTTTGGTTGTGCTTATTTCCTAAACTGTTTCAGGTGTCTATCACCAAAGTTTCTGTTATGTTGTGAATGGTTCCTTGTTTTCTAGAATAGGGTATGTGTTTAGAAGACCTTCCCGGAGAAAGCTAATTTTAGAAGAAAATGGGGATAAGGAGCAAACAGATGTGATTGCCTTACATCTGTCATGGTGTTTGAGTTAGAACAGGGTTGAGAACTTTGATAATGTTAATGATTAAATGCATTACTTGTCACCCTGCTGGGTTTCCCTGGCTAGGAATATTTTCTGTTGAGTAATTGTTGCAATAGCTGACTTTCTGCTCAGGTGATAAAAACAAAGCAACAGCTAATGCAGGAGGGCGAGTGCCCTGTGTTTGATGCCTGGTAGTACAGGAAGAACTGCATAATAGTGTGTAGCAGGGCTGGGAACTTAAGATGCAAATAAGATAAACTTGAGTAAAGAACGGACTGTAATTGCTTTTCCTGTTACACATGCAGCAGAGAAGCTGCTGGTACAGCAGGATGCCTCTCTCATGTTCACTAATACCTGTCTTAGGTGATTTTTAAATTGCAGAAATAACTTGTTAAAATAGCCCTTCTGTCTCAGGATCTGTTAATAGAGATTCAGTATTCTTATATTTGCATTGTCTGGTCTGGTGGTACCGGGGTCTGGTCCTGACCAAAATTGCCATTCCCCTATAGAAAGGTGCTGCTGTTGCAGTTTGCTCCAACCAACGCTGGAGCCTGACAGCATTTCCCTTAGAAATATCTGTGTATGCTGTGTTTTGCAAGCAGCTTTCACGACTTAGCTAGCAAGCTCCAGGGTTTCTATATTCTCAGCACTTGACAAAACTCTCAGTTTTGTATGTATTTACTTCCTTTCTGTGCGCCATGTATTATCTCCCGATATAGTTACTTTTTATGGCATAGAAAATGTGGTTTTCTTTTTTCTTTTTTTTAATTAGCTCATATTTAGTTTAGCTTTTCAGAGACAGGATCCTTTCTTTAAAAAAAAAAGAAAAGTCAAGCCAAATAGAAAGAAACATTCAAGTTGACAACTTCCCTCCCAAGGAGTTGGCGACCATCATTGAGTTTCTTTAAAATCTGTCACTTCCAGCCGCTTGGCCCTATTGACGCTTTGTTTTGCGTTTTATTATGGGGAAGTGGCACTTTCAGATTCAGAAATCTGTCTTGAAGGAAGGGGGACAATAGTTATCTGGAGCGCTGGGTTCCATCCCTCCCACTTGTTTTGCTTGCTTTCATTTCTTCTTTGTTTAATTCCCGGCCATGTCATTCCTTTGCCCCTAGCCATAGTAACTGGCGACAGGAGCCTGCTCCGGCAGAGCCGCCGAAAGCGCAGGTTCCCGCTGCGGAAATGTGCCGCTCAGGATGGTGCTAGGTGAAGTCTTCCTCCGTGGGGTTTTTCCCTCCCCTTTTGCTGCCCTTGCCTCCTAAGGCAACTGCTCGGGGCGATTCTATCCCTCCTGTGCCTTGGCCCGACAAACAGGGCAATCTGGGAAGTGGGTATTTTAATCTGACTCTGAATTTCGCTGTCTTTCAACCCTCTCTTTAAGCCACCCTGCAAAGCAAAAGCCCACTCTGGTATTGCTTGGATTTTGGTTAACTTTACGTAGGCCTCATGAGCACATTCATTGCATATGGCATGAGGGATTTGAAAAAGCACGTGAAAAGGTTTCCCCCATATTTCATATTGTGCGAGTAATGTTCCCATAGAAAAGCAATGGAGTGAAGTTGTCACTTGTCAATTCGGTTATTAAGGAGGATTATGCTTGGATTTTTTTGGATAAAATCTGTCAATATCATTACGCTTGTCTGTTCTTCTATGAAGACGGACCACAATCTCAATGTCATCTTAAAATTTCTGGATAACTGCCTAAGGCCATGCAGAAATCCCTGGGTGTCCCTGCTCCGAAGGCAGCTCTTGTGGCTCAGCCTGACAAGCAAAGGCAATTGAGTTCCTGAACATTGAAGCAATTTTCCTTCCTTTTTTTTTCCTCATTGCATGTAGATAACTTTTACTCAGCATCAGTCACTCCCCACTTCTTAAAGTTCAAACTTTACAATTGGCTAAAAGTAGTATTTTTAGAAAAAAATAAAATCCGTGTGACCAAGGCAGCAGCATCAAGTCACACTCAATGTCATTGAGTAATTTAGTATATACAAGGATGTGTTGGGTTTCCTTAATGAGAACTGGGAGTCTATATTCTTCTTTGAACCCACTAGGAGGAATTTCAGCAACATGTCCAGATCTGCTGGGTCTTCAGACAGTGAATCTGGAGCTCCTTAAGACTAAATGCCATTTTATTTTAAACTAGCGGACAGTGACAGACAGAGACGGTGTCTCAGATGGCGGATTTGGGACCAGTTGTGGGTTTCTGTAGCTTCTTCCCATTCCTCCTAGAGCCATATCAGTGTGTCCAAATATTTCTTTTTTAATTGCTATGGGATAGGGGGGGAAAAAAAAGCATGCTCTGTGTGAAGTACCATATCTAACAGTGCGCAAACTTTCTTTTTGCTCTGCAGTCTCGGAAAGGGAGTGACCCAGACAAAGAGAAGAAGGTCCTGGAGAGCAGAACGGATAGCATTGGAAGCGGCCGTGCAATCCCAATTAAACAGGTATGCTGCAATATAGCCATGTCTATATATAATATATATATATGTATGTATTTTTTTTTGCTTTCTCTGGTTGGAGACACACCTCAGGTCTGGAGCGCGCCAGCGCTGGGCCCGCGCGCCCAGCCTTGTTTGATGTGCTCCGCTGATGAATGTGGAAGTCACTCACTTGACATCAATTAGGAGAGGTTCCTGTGTGTATTAAAATGGGATCATTAGAATAAGAAGAGGGAAAATGTGACAACAGGCCTAATGAAGTGCAGTCTGCCGGCCTGCATATGGAGCGCGTTTCTAGGCTGCGCCGGCTTCAAAGGCGCCCTTTGTAGCGAGCGCTTTGATGGGGCTGGTTGCCGCCAGCCGGCAGGGGGACGCGGGCGCGCGCTACAAGAGCCCCTTGTGATCGCCGCCGTCGCCCGCGCGGCCCTCGTTTGCTGTCGCGGGCGGACATCTGAGCGCGGGCGCGGGCGGCTCTGCAGCAGCGAGGCAATTAGTTGTGATAATCAGAGCCGGTGTGTCAGCTGCGCGCTCTTGTTGGTAATTTGCTAATGAAGGAATTGTAACTTTGATTAGGTTCAGTTTCATTTAGGCCTTATTATATAAGGGAGCGTTTACAGCTGTAATGTGTGGCCTTAATTAAACTTCCCCATTACACAACAGGCCTCGACTTGGCGGGCCTGTTTGGGTCTGTTTTCACTAGCCAAGATGCACTTTCATTAGCCCGGCAGAGCGGCTGCTAAATTGTTGCTGCGAGTGCCGCTGTGCGAGGCGCAGGCAGGGCTGGAAGCTCGTGCAGAGCGTTTGGGTGAAGGAGGCAATTTGCCTCTTTTCAAATTAAAATCATACGATGCTGGTGCAGCGGAGGGCACCGGGCTGAGTGTTTGTATGAGAGGCTTCACAAATAGCCTCAATAGCAGCACTTGGGTTGTACGTGGCACAAATGCTGTGGGAAAATAGCTTATTTTCTTACTGCAGAAGTGTATTTTGGGGGTTGTTTTCCTGTCTCTCCATTGGGCACTTGCTGCTTCCTGAGGTGCTTCCCAGTCTCTGCCTCAGTCCCTGCCTGGTTCTCATAGCCCTGGCTCTCTTGCTTTATTTTGGGGGGAAAGAGATTATAGAGAGGAGAGACTTTCACTCTTAATTAGTTGTAGTGATTTTTCTTTCTGAAAAGGCGGATAAAAGGCTTTTTATTATTTATTTTGTCTTCCATCACCAGAGAGTAAAAATACTGTCATCTCCATGAATTGGTAGTGGATGCGTTTTAATCAAACCCACTGCAATTTGCAATAGCAGTTTGAGCGCAGTTAAGCAGTGTGCTTGGCACTGGGCTCAGGGCAGGAGTTTTTCAGGCTTTCAAAGCAAACTGCATGTTTTTCTCTTGCTTTTGTATGGCATGAGGTAGATTAGACTGGCTAGACTTTTTGAGGGGTAATGCTAATTAAACAGAAGTGCCTGTAAATGCAAATGCGTTTGGCATTTACAAATGGAAATATGGAGGCATAAGCTTACCAGTATTGGTCTGAAATGTGCATACTGTTCTCGTCCTCAAATATGCTGTGTGAAATGGATTTGATTAAAAATGCACCTGTAGGAAGCCTATCTTGGAATACTTTTCCAAAGACTAAATGCATGCTGCCACATTGGAATAAAATACTTCTATCCATCATCCCTAATACGTCCAGGAAAATGTTCCTTCCATCCCCTTCTTTGCATACTGCAAAGCATATATAGCATATTTCCAACTGTCCTGTTGAGGAAGATGAGCCTTACAGGAATGTGTACTTGTATTAGTAACCACAGTTGTGGGAACTTCCTTCTACCAAGTATAAGCAATTACTCAAACTATTGGAAAAGGTCTTTAATTGGCAGCTCTATCCTGTTCTTTGGGGAGCTGGAAGAGGTGAGCTTGAGTGGCCGGTAATGATGTGGGGTTGCTGCTGTCAGTAGTATTTTGCCCCATGCTCATGCATTAATTTTGGAGCTCATAATTTTTTGACTTGATAAAAATCTTTCAGTGAAGATCAGAAGGCCGTCATCATCTGGTGGTTGAAACAAAGTAAGATGCAGTTGAAAAAGTACTGTTTGGAGAAAGGATGCTTCATAAAATAGAAAAATGCAAATAATGCTTCTGACCCAGGGCAAATGAGTGTTGGATATGGTGACGTTTGGAGATTTTTGTTTGGTTTGGTTAGTTTTGTTTTTTTCTAGGCATTATTGATTGCTAGGAAGGTGAAGAGGAGGGAAGATGGCATCATTCAATGTCCTGAAAAGAGTTTAGCACTTGCAAAATACAATAGTGAATTCCTGTGTAATTTTCCTATAACTTTGCTTAAGGAATGGAGAAGAGAGGGAAGAGAAATTTATTCTTAGGTGTTCCTTTTCTTGCCTTTTTTAAAGTATCTTCTCAACTGATGTCTGCTTTGACCTTCTCACCTACTTTAGGTATTTTTCCTATTGTAGAAAAACAGTTTTTTTTTTAAGAGGAAGCATTTAATTACAAATGAAAATGCAATATGCATTTGTACTGAGTATGTTTCTCTACCTTGTTAAAAAAAAAATATGTGTGTGTGTGTGTTTGTTTGCAATGATCTTTGTTTACCATCTGCTTTCTTTCAAGCTTGCATCTCTTACCTTGGGAGAAGGTCCCCCTGAATGTTGAGCAGGGGAAAGGTGGTTGTCTACCAGACTTGGAACAGATCTGACCAGTCGCTCGTGGGCTCTGTGGCACTGTGTTAAACTGCCAGCCTGCCTGAGATCTCGCTGGCCTCTACCAGTGTAGGGCATTGGGAAACTTCTCTGAACCAACAGGAATTCCTGTAGGGAAGATGGTGTCTTTCTGTGTTTTAAGGATTTACAGTGAATGGGACAGATGTGAGAAGGAACCTAAAATTTTTAATAATCTATCATACTTGTAGTATTTTTTCCATAGCAAACCCCTTCCATCTTGATATAGTTTGATGATAGATAAATACTTGGGGGCCAGGAAGAAAAATCCATTCTATGGAAGTTCAGTGCAGACTGCAATTTGCACAGTTCTGCTGTGGAAGAGCTATGCCATGATATTTGAACATTTATTTTTTTCTTTCTTGGACTTTCGTCTCCCTGTCTTCCATTAACCCGAGAGTCTCTCTGCTATAAGGCCGTGCTGGAACCAAGAGTAACCTCCAGGGCTGGGAAAGGTCCTGGAGCTGCAGGGTTGTTCCTTAAGGAGCTGAGGAGTGCGGTGCATTTGCCAGCCTCATGCACATACCCTTTCACTGTGCCTTCAGGACATCCTTTAAAGCGATGATTTGGCCTCTTTAATATCTGTTGTCAGTGCTTTCTTTGATTCTCTCTAGGTTCTTAGGCTATGTGTATCACAGTAATGCTTTTTAAAAGCTGTTGGCAAGACGGTGCTTCTGGTGCAAGACAGAAAAGACTTTTTCTTGCGTAAATCCAAGCTCATAGATGCAGACGAGTGAGTCAGTGATGTTGGTTGTTGGAACTTAGTAGCGGATTTCCCTGGGCAGGAGGAAAAATACAACCATGGCAAAGCTGGGATTGAAACTAATGCTGTGAATTTGGGGTTGGCTGCTCATTTATTCTATATGTTCCCTGCAAAAGATAATTTTTAAAAAATCCAGTAAAAATCTTAATATTCAGATGCTGAAGCCAAAAGCTTGGATACAACAGTGTATTCCTGTTGTCCATAGGCTGTTCTTAACATCTAAAGCCTGCTGAAAGTGGTATTTCTCAGTACAAAAGTTAGATAATTGAAGATTGGAAATGTCCTTTTTGATGACAGAATGTGGGGTCTCCTCTGGGGCTAGAGGACATAGTAAGGGGGAAGGCAGAGCTGATGAGAGCCAGGTATGTTTGTGTGGTGGAGAAGGAACATAACATAATAAGATAACTGTACAGAAGATCAGCTTTCTAGGAAGTCTGGAAAACCAAGACGAGATGAGTAACGGGCCCGAACATGAGGGACAAAGCTTTGCTAGATCAGCTGTGCATTGCTGCTCTCAATCCAGTGTAGCTATAGTACTGCATTGTCTAAGTGGGGCTTCTTTTCTATGTATAGTTAAAATTCTGTGGGTGTTTACATGTTGTTTAATCTCCTTGAGGACATTTTTCCTTACAAACTATGGTTCTATACTATAGGCTGCCTTTGACACCAATGCCACCCATATGGCTAGTAGAGTTACACAATGGTTTTGGCGGCAGAGACTTTGACCTAAGCTGGTTTAGCCCAAGAATCACCTTGAAAGGCACAACGTGTCCTGCAGAGCCGTCTGCACAGGCATTCAGTGGGTCATTTGATCAGGAGAAGCAGAGGTGAATCCCACTCCTTAATTCCTAATTTCTTTCCCCAAATTCCAGGTAGTTTAGCAAAAATAGGTTTACGGAAATTTTTAATGGAATCCTCTCCCTCTAAGGAAATACTTTCTTCTTTGTAGCTTTTTCCTTAGCTTGACACACTGTGGTTTGAAAGTGCTAATCTTATTTTCTATGTCATTCCTAAATGTTAAAAATCACTTTTCACTACAGCACTAAATATGGTTGTATTAGCCAAAGCCGTTTTAAAGCTGTCCTGAACAGTCGTCTTACTCCCAGCAGAAATGCAGAACACAAGAAGTGCCAACTGAGGGTGTATTTAACGCACCTAGGCTGACTTTGGCCAAAACCCTGTAAGGCGAGTGAAATGTTGAGCGTCCAGTTCCTAAGGAGGGGAAAACAAATAAAAATCCTCTGTAAAAATAGAAGTGATTTTTCTACTTCATAGGTAGATGTATCAGCATGCCTCAATTCTGGGCTTTCAGTGGCGTTTTGGTGAATATTTTAATTAAAGCAACATCAATAAAAACTCCTAGAATGCTAGGATCATATGTTTAATGTTTATTTGACTTAAGGAGGTTTTATAAGAGACCATGTGGAGATTCCCCACTTCTACTTCATTTACGTGTTGTCATCTACCTCCCAAGTGATGGGTTTTCAGCATGATTGCGTTTCTCTTTGCACACTTGCCC